CTGAGAGGTGGGGAAATGAAGGCTAGATGAGGTCACTAGGGTAGAATCTGTATGATTGGGTTAGCAGCTTTCTCAAAAGGGGAAGAGTCCTGAGCAGTACCCTGGCTCCATTTTGCCACATGACACCCTCTGTCATGCTAAGATGTACAAGAAGGCCCCTGAGAGGTGTCCACATTCACACTCTTGTACTTCGTCAGTGCAGCTGAGTCCTCCCTCAGTCCCCTAGTGCACCTCCCCCTAAGCCCAGGCAGCCTCTGATATGAACATCTCCAGCTCAGTGGAGTGGCACAAAAGCCTCACCTCTGATTTTTTTTAAATATTCTTTTTCTGAATATGACCAGCAAATCATACAGAAACCCACAAAAGACACCACTGTGGCTGCTACAGGCAAGACTCCTCTACTGCGCTCTGAGCCCTGAATGGAAATACCCACTGAACCACAACTTGGAAGATCTTGATCCACAAATGGAGCAAATGTAGCCTGCACGGGCACTGGTAAACGGTAGGCACCTGGGGTCTAGGGCAGGAGGAAGGGGACCCCCTGGGAGAGCTGCAGCCAGAGGACCAGGAGTGTCACACACTTTCCATAACAAGAGCCCCTCCTCAGCTACAAGAGCCCAACAAGTCTAAACAGTCGTTTGGCAGGCAGTGGCTTGGAGAGAAAATTCAGCATACTTTTCAAGAAAGAAACCCAAGGCAGATGCTGAGCAGGAGAAGGGGGAGCCTAACTATGGCTACAGTTTAGCAAGGCAGGGTTCCAAGCTCCAGTTCCAACCCTGACATGAATTAGGAGTGCCCATGCTTTCAGGGAGCTGTCGGTGAACACCCAAGGTTGTCAGTGAAGGGCTCTAACAAGCTAACATGGTGCCAGCAGGTCGTGGCCTCCTCCTTCCATTTTCCTTATTGATCCATTAGATTACATTCCTAAAGATAGCCACCAAAGTCCATGCACTTATTTGCCTACTTCCTTATGCCTAACTCCTTCCTAAGGCTGCCCTCTTTGGCTATTGACCCCCTGCAGTGACCTCTCCCTTCCTGGATTTCTCCACAGCCTCATCTTTTTTACCTTTAACTCAGTGCCATCTGCCTGACTGTATTATTGTTTTGACAAGACTCAATTTGGTTATCTTAGTAGCTTCCTTATACTAATATTTTGAAAAAATATAAATGTGGTGTTTACAGTTTGGAATATTTATCAGTAATTACTAATACTAATACTGGTAGTATACTAATACTACCAGTATTAGTATTAGTATTAGTAGTATTTTGAGATATGGTCTTACTATTTTACCTTGGCTGTCCTGGAAATCACTGTGCAAATCAGGCTGGCCTTGAACTCTCAGAGATCTGCCTGCCTCTGCTACCCAAGAGCTGGGATTAAAGGCGTGTGCCACCACATCAGGTTGTCTGAGGTCTTTGTTTCTTTGAGAAAGGTTTTCACTGGGCCTCCTATGTGGTGGGGTTGCAGATGTGTGTCATGATATCTGGTTCAACTATGCTTATTTTAAAAGAAAGCCATTAGGCGGTAGAGATGACTCAGCCGGTTAAGGGGATCCCCAGGACCTACATGCTGAAAGGAGAGAAGTGACTTCCACAGGATGTCCTCTGACCTGCACAGGTATTTCATGGTCTAGCTCCCCTACCCTACACAACCAAATAAATGAACAAATGTCAAAATAAACAAATGAAGGAAATCTAGCTGGGTATGGTGGCTCACAGCTGTGATCCCAGAATTTTAGAGGTTAAAGTGGAAGATGATAGTGAACTTGAAGCCATTTGGGGTTCAAAAGAAAGAAATAGCTTTTTGAAATCAAAAGCAAGTAGCCAAACAGATTTCTTGACATTAACATTTAAAGCTAGCAATGCTACAAATAGACTCTAGGCTGCTGGGCATGATGGTGCATGCTTGTAGTATCAGTACTTTGGGAAGGCAGAGGCAGGAGATTGCGAGCTTGTGGTACAGAGTGAGGACCTTATTCCTCAAGGTCTCAAAAATTATAACCCAAACAACTACAAACACAACAAAAAACAAAACAAGAAATAGTTCAAGCTGAGTGCCCACCAACCTTGCCTGTGAACACAGCACATGGTCTTCCTGGTTAGAATGTTCTTCTACCATTGTGTTCAGACTGGGGAGGAAACAGGAATAAACCCCAAAGATGTCTTAACAAGCCAGACACAAGAGGTTGGACATGAATGACCACACTTATACAAAGCACAAACAGCAGTCCAAATCAGGAGTCAGAGAGCTAGACAGTAGAATGGAAGTCACCAGGGACCAGGAGAGTTGGAGTTGCTGCTTCATTGCCCAGAGTTTCCATTTGGGGGGACAGGGAAAGGAAAAGTTCTAGAGACAGAGGTTGTGATGCTTCCAGAACACTATGAACACGCTCCATAATAAACTTATGTTGTGTATTTTCACCATGATTTTACAAAAAAAAAAACAAAAAACAAAAACAAAAACAACAACAAAAAAAAAAAACCAAAAAACAATGCTGCCACCTGCCACCCAAACAAAACAGCACTATGGAAACAATGCCAGCTTCTCTATCCCTGTTTTAAAGTGGTGGCATCCCCCTAAAACTCCCAGCTCTCAGGGCATCTGGGACAGAGGATGGCATGTTTGAGTCCAGCTGGACTACAAGCCAGACCTTGTCTCAAAACAGGGGAGAGAGAACTAGTGAGATGCCTCAGTGGGTAAAGGTACCTGTGGCCAAGCCTGAAGACCTGAGTTCAATCCCCAGCCCCCACACAGTGGAAGGAGAGAGCCAACTCTTGCAGAGTTGTCCTCTGACCGCCACATGTGCATATTGGCACATGCTCTGACTTCTTCCACACCATAACTAGAGAAATAAACAAAATGTAATTACATTTTTAAGAGGAGGGGTGTAAAAGAAGAAGGAGGGAAAGGAATGAAAAAGACAAGAGAATGAGGGAGTGGAAGAAGAGGCGGAGAAAGAGCAGGGCAGGGAGGAGAACATCACCAGTCTTGTTAGGCACTGACAGTGAGGTACAGACTTTCTCTTCACTAGGGAAAGAGGCTGAAGTCTGCTCCCTGTGTGAGAAGCTTCCTCAGCCACTGCCTCTTTGTGAGGCACCTTTGGTGTGCCTCAGGTCTCTGGGAGTCCCTTGCTCCTGACACATGCTGGCTGTTTTCCAAAGCACTCCTGCATACATGAGACAGATATCTGGGAATCTCTTGTGATTTGCCCATTTTTCAGAGGCGTGATGGAGAAGGGAAGCCACTTGTCAGCCAGGATGACCAAAGGCAAGCCTGAGCATTAAACCTAGATGCTTCCCCTCCCTACAGCAACTCTTCTGATTGCCTGAGACTACCACAGGGCCTGGGCACACCATCCTCCAGTTAATTTCCAGAGTGTATACAAGAGAAAATCTCTGTCTCCATCAGACCATCTTTGCTGTACTACCAGGTCTCTCTTTAACAGCCTGCTCAGAACCCATCAGCATTCATGGAAATCCACATCTGCTACCCAGGCAGCAGACAAGTTTCTCAGGAGATCTGGGTTAAAATCCTGACTCTCTCAACAGCTTGCTATATGGCCTTTGGCAAAACAATATCAAACATAAGCTTTAATTAATAAGTGTTATTATATATCATTATAGGTTATTTGTATAAGTATGTATAAATTATTATATATTACTTGATTATAAGTATAAAGTAACTTAATATATGTGAGTAGACTAACATGTCTTTAAAAACAACAACGAGAGACCACTTCCCCAGACTCAGTGTTCACAGATCACAAAGATAGCAAAGAGATAAATCAGTGTCTCTCCTTGGAAGTCACTAGAATCACCAGGGAGAGGTGGTTTAACCCAGGTTCACAGGCTCTGCTCTCAGGGAACATGGGTTGGACAGAAGCAGGCCTTGGTACCCCCAGGGCCTGTCTGAGACCTTAGGGGAGGGGCTTGGTACCCCAGAACAGGGCCTGAGCAGAGCTAGAAATCTTGAGTGGGGCTAGGGACCCTGTGGCCCTGGGACCTGTCATCAGCAGCCTCCCAGAAGATTTCCCAAGCTTGGGCTCCTGGGACCTCGGGTTCCGGTTCCGCATCTCTAAGGGCTCCTCCTCACCCACATTCTGAGCCTCCAGGAAAACAGGTTCTGCAGTCGGAAGGGGACGCTCTTTGGCTACACCAGACTACAGAGGAGGAAAACTCCATTTTCTTTAATCTGCCTGAGAAGTTTTGTTTATTTATTGGGAAACACAGATCTAAGACTTTGCTGGGAAGTGAGGAGCTCCAAGCGGTGATAGGAAGAGGGCCACACAGTGGGCGACTAGGTGCGTGAGGCCTGGGGTGGAGAAAGGAGCCATGGAACTCTGTAGGAAGAGGGCACGTGCTTAGGTCCCATTCAAAGCTAGGCTTAGTGGTTGCAGTTCTCGTTGTTTGCCCCCCCCCCCCCCCCCCCGCCCACCGCCGAGAGAACTGTACCCACCCTCTCAGCAACTCTCCTAAAAGGATGTGGCAAAGTAAGACGGATGTCTTCACCTTGCCCCCCTCACCCTATGCTGTTTCTATGCCAAGTTCTCACAAGAAGGACCCTGTACCAAGTCTCCAGAATCAGAGGTGGTCTGTCTGCACAAGCAAAATAAAGGACCAGTGAAGGGCGGTCCCTGGGTGCTGTAGATGTCAAGGGCTAGTAGAGTGCACGCCTGCCCCCTTCCTCTGCCCCCCGCCCCCCCATCTGCCTCCCAGAGCGGCAAGACACTCTTACAGGGGTGTCCCCGCCACCTACCCCACCAGGAGCGCTGTCAACTGGCGCGGGCTCTGGCAACTGGCGCGGGCTCTGGCTCTCACATCCTGCGCGCAGTTGGTCCAGGATCCGAGAAGCCTCTCTACCTTCTGCACTCCCATCTGGCTCTTTCCGGCCAGGCTGTCTGACTCTGTCTGACCTCGGGCAAACAGTTGCCACCAGCCTCAGAGCCTCGGATTCCCACCCTAATTTTAGCGGCTGCAAAGGGGACCTTGGAGTCACCTACTGGGCTCCTGCGCGTTGCCGCTGCAGGTCTCTTCGTGCGCTGCAGGTCTTTTTGCCTTCAGCTGCGTGGCTCCTAGGAGCTTGGGGCGGCAGTCTCTGGCAGTCACCTCACCTCCTGCTCTGTGGCCGCTTATTTTTCCCCTTTCACTTTCTATATGCACCTTCAGCGTTGGGCCAAAGGCAGAGCTAAGCAGGAACGCCCTCCCCCTCCCCCGAAAGCGACACACCACGTGCTTTCTCAAAAGCATCCACATGCAACCCAAGTTTGCTCAGATTGAGTGTTCCCAGAGGACCTGCCCCGGGCAGAGCTCGCTTAGACCAGCCCCTGCCCAGGAGGAGAGGGCTGCGCAATGTGAGCCAGCCTGAGCTCCAAGACAGATGTTTGGTTTGCAGGCCACCTCATCTACACCCTTGGTGGCCCTCAATTTCTCTCTAGCTCAGCACAACCATAAAGATAGACAAGCTGCTCCTTGAGGCATTTAGACCTGAGGTCCACTAGCAGAGCGCTCTTAGATCCTCTACTTTCCCAGGACACGCCTCCTTGGAGAGGTTACTTCCCTTCACCTAGATTTCCTCATCTGTGGAGCAGCTGAGAGACTGAGGCAAGCTTGCCTCTCTCTCTCTCTCTCCTACCCAGAACCTCCAGCTGCATGTCGCTGAGCTGGGACTCTTGTCACCATGATTTAGGTAGCACACTTCAAGGCAGTCTGAGAAAAGGGATCCCAACCCTTTGAACCGTACAATAACAGCAACATTACACTGTGGACTTCTGATGACAGTTACTACAGGGAACCAGATACTACGCTGAACTCTTTGATTCTCACCATTACCCTACCACACAGACAATGATCCCACTATATGATGGCTGAGGAAAACTGAAACTCAGAGGTTAGCTATGGTTCAGAGGCACAGTGTAGAGGCAGCCGAGAGTGTAGCTAGGTGGTGAGCCCAGTGCTATCTTCAAAGCAGGTGCCACATCACACAGCCAATCCTTACCATCTGTACCCACTTCTCAAAAACCACATGGAGGCTAGAGGGAGCAGAATCTGCCAGAAGCTCTGTGCTTCCTAGATACACCACAAGCTTGGTTATAGTTTGGGGGTGTTAAGGGTCCCACAGGCTGGGGTAGAGGTCTCCTATAGAGACGTGCCTCAGTTTACCCAAGGATAGATCTGGGCATGAGCTGTAGCTCAAGGGTAGAGAGCTTGTCTGGCATGCACAAGGTTTAGGTTCAATCTCCTCAGGGAAGAGGAGAAGAAGGAATAAGAAGAGGAAAGGACACACTGGGTAACCCTGGAACCTTGGCAGGGCTGAGTGCTGCCAGCACAGCCCCTGAGTCTGAGTGCTGATAAAAGCCTTTTATCAGGTGCCTAGCCGTCCCCACTGTCTCTCATGTGGAAAGACTACCCAATAGGTCCACCCCTGTGGGACACAGATCCTTTTTCTTACCTTCACCACTAAATCATAGCAGGGTCTTTGCCTAGCATGGTGGAACCAGCCAAGACCTTACTGTGTTCATGAAAGCTCTAGTCTTAACCATTTTCTCCAGCCCACTTTTTACCTTGCAACTCCGGCAGATAAGGCCCAGAACGGCAAGGAACCAGGCAGCGCATGATGTGGAGGGCAGAGCAATGCAGCGTCTATGCTCCAGCTGTCTCTCCTGGTGTGCTAGACTTCTCCAAGAAGGTCCTCAGATGCCCAGGTGAGAAGTGGACAGCCTCAGTCATTTCCCTCCCTATAGCACTTAGGAGCCTACAGCCAACCAATCTCAGCTAGCATGCAAAGCAAGCAAGCAAGCAGGAGACCAACTGAAAAGTCTCCCATGGCAGTGTAGCCCGAACAGTTCATATTCTGTGTTTGGATACTCTCTAATTTGCCCATGCTCCCTTAGCCACCCACAGCTTCTTATGTTAATTTCAGTTCCTTATTGTGGGCCAAATTGGGTGACCACAGAAGGCTCCACCTTGATTAGAGACTTCTGAAATGATGTTTGCAATGGACCCACGCTGGAGCCAGCTACCATCTCTGCCATCTTGTGTGGGACAGGGCCTGCATCAGATCCCCATGTATACCCCCAAGAGAACAAAGGGCTGTTAGGGATGAGCTGACTTCTAGCTTCCACTCACAGCGAACTGCTTTGCGTTTCTCTGGAAACACCATCATTTTTATTCTAAAACATTGAACTAAAAGCTCGAGTCAACACTCTGGGTGTTGACTCTAATACAGTAGCCTGAGAGCTAGCTGGGTCAGGGGGACTAAGCTGCAGTGATAAGCAACACTGACTCTCGCAGCGAGACAGTGAGTACCTCTCCACTCTGCCTATCCTTCAGGTGACATCAGTAAGAAAGCGTTGGTCTGGGACTAATCTGTTTCTTTAATTTATTCATGGATTTTATGTAAATGAACGATCTGTCTTCATGTACCTCAGAAGGGGGCGCTAGATCTCACTGCAGATGGTTGTGAGCCACTCCATGGTTGCTGGGAATTGAACTCAGGATCTCTGGAAGAGCAGCCAGCGCTCTTGACCAATGAGTCACACCCCGAGCCCGGCTAATTTGTTTTTAATGCCTTTCTAACACAAGGCGTCCTTTCCCCAGAGATTGCAGCTGCCCATCGGGAAGCAGACTCTTGACTTAAATGTGAAAATATTGCTCTATTTTTCTTTAAAAATTACCTACTGGGGCTGGGGCTCAATTGGCATGAGAGCCCTTGTCTAGCATGCATAGGGCCCTGGATTTAACCCCAGCACCACACAAACTGGACGTGGCCATGTATATCTGTAATTCCAGAATTTAGAATGTGGAGGCAATAGAATCAAAACTATAAGGGTTACCCTGAATGCTGTAGAGAATCGGAGGCCGTGTCTGAAAACAGACAAGCAAGCAGCAAGCAGCACTGCTGTTTGGGCTCTTTTCCCTCCTCGTGGCAGGAAATAAAACTTTATTTGAAAAGGAGTTACAAGTGTGAGTGTGTTGGGAAAACATGTCAAGTAAATACAAAAAAAAAGTGAGGACTGTGAGGGTGTCACCAACTCGGATGAATTCTGGGAGCCAGCATGAGACAAAAGGTGGCATGGCTGTTTCTGGCAGGTGTGTGACTTTAGACCCATCAATTCCCATCTGAGAGCCTTTGTTTCCGTGTGTAAAATATGTGTAGAAACTGTCTTTGTTTGTTGTCAGTTTTAAAGCCATTATCACTACTTGCAAAAGTCCCAAGAAGGAAGTAGACAGACAAATGAGAAGTGCTAGGAGTCAATTTGAAATAACCTTTGCTCGGTGGGGGAAACACAGCAGCAGAAATCTCCCTATGCCCCATCCCCATCGTCATGACCGGGTTCCAAGGTCTGACACTCTTCTCTTCTGAGACGCATGGCAGAGTCCTTCCTGTCTGTAGGGGCAGCTAGTTCTGATGCCCCTCAACTGTTCCAGAGTCACATAAGCAAGGAGGGTCTGTGCTACAGTGGGGCTCAGCCTGAATACACCTGGCTGACCACCTCTTATGTGTGCTGTTACCTGGCCTCCCTACATTGTCTCTGACACCTGTAGATCTCAGACCCATGTGCCTCAAGAACTAAGTAGAAGCATGTGCACGATTGTGCGGATGACTTCCGAGCAGGATGATGACAGGCACATTTGCTCAGCAAATGCCAGAGGCAGCTTATTGGCACCCAGAAGGATAATGCTGAAGATGCAGAGCTCGGACCCATCAGAGAGCAGTGGAGATTGGGAACTATGAGAACTGGAACAGGACAGCTTAGACAGTGCATCACGGCCTCCCAAGGTGAGATGAATGGAGACAAGGAACGGGAAGGAGCATCAAGCTAATGCTGAACGTTCTTTTCCTTAAAGCGCCTCTTTTGGAACTGGAGAGATGCTCCATTGGCAAAGTGTTTGGAGTGCTTGCTATGCAATCATGAGGACCTGAGCTCATACCTTAGCACCCATGCTAAAAACTGGCATGGCACCCTGAACCTGTAATCTGCTGGCCTTAGTCTTGAACAGTCAGTGAGCTCCAAGTTTAGTGAGAGACTTTGTCTCGAAACAAAAGGTAAAATGTGATTGACGAAGACACCAAAGATGATCTCTAGTCTCTATACATAAACATACACATGTATATGCACATACAGCTCCCCAAAAATGTACAGATGTACAAGCATGTACATGTGTGTTTTCCCAACACACACACACACACACACACACACACACACCACACACACACACACACACACACACACACACACACACTTGTGGAATTGTCTGAATGAATAGATGACAGTTAGTATTTTAGTGATCAAGGCTGGCTTGAGTCCCAAGCGGATAAAGATGGTCCCTTAGCATGCTGTAAGTGCCTTGTATTATGGTTGTTGGTAAAGCACATAATTCCCAGTGGGAGCTACATAAGTGATTAAGGAGGAGAAGATAAGAAAAAAGAAACAAAAATGGAGGATAAGTTAATAGATAGAATAAAGGTGGCATTTTGCAAATTAGGAAATTGGGTACACGAGAATGCAACCTCTAGATGGATGGGTATGTAAATGGATTCACTGGCAGGAAGGTTATATAGCTAAGTTGCTATATAAATATACACAGATGAGTGAATAGGCAAATAGAGAAATGAATTTGGTAAGTCAATGTGGGTTATAAATGGATTAATTGAGAAGCAGATTGGAGTGTGTGTGTGTGTGTGTGTGTGTGTGTGTGTGTGTGTGTGTGTGTGAAGTAGGTGCTGCAGAGAGACGTGAAGTGGCCAGGAGATGACTAGAAGAAAGCATGGATGATAAGTGTGGCTCCAGGGTAGCCACTCAAGGCAATAGTAACAGAATCAGAAATAGTCCTTGGCTGGGTCAGGTGCCAAGTTCTGAGGCAAGAGGATACAGAGCAGGCTGGTTGGGAAAATTCTCTGGGAAATACTAATTTCTGGTATAGGCAGTTCTCCTTTTGTGGCTCCTGGGAGTGAAAGGACCACAGATTAACAGCTGGGAGGCTGGCCAAGTAGAAAAGCTGAGTCCTTCTTGAAGCTTAACCCCTGTCAGGAGGCTGGGAGCAGGCAGGAGCTGGGATGGA